AAAGTCTATTTTTTTTTTTTTTTTTGAGACGGAGTTTCACTCTTGTTGCCCAAGCTAGAGTGCAATGGAGCGATCTCAGCTCACTGCAATCTGTGCCTCCCAGGTTCAAGTGATTCTCCTGCCTCAGCCTCCTGAGTAGCGGGGATCACAGGTGCCCACCACCACACTTGGCTAATATTTTGTATTTTTAGTAGAGACGGGATTTCACTATGTTGGCCAGTCTGGTTTTGAACTTTTAACCTCAGGTGATTCACCTGCCTTGGCCTCCCAAAATGCTGGAATTACAGGCATGAACCACCGCACCTGTCCTCTACCATACTCTTAAGCCTTGAGTCCTCTGCTGGGTCCTCAGCATTTAGCTAACAGATGAGAAAAGAGAGAAAAATCATGGTGGATTGCATGAAAGGCCCCAGGCCAGGCATGGAGGTGGTGAACATGGCTTCTGACCCACATCTCGTAACCAGAACTTAGGGACAAGGCCAAATGTAACAGCAAGGAAGTCTGGGAAATGTAGTCTAGTTGTGTGTCCAGGAGGAAGAGGAAAATGGATTGGTGGGTACCTGGCTTGTCTCTTAAACATAATGGATAGACTGTGTTAAAAGCAGAACCTTAGACAAATCAAATTTAAAGAGTTTAATTGAGCAAAGTACGATTCATGAATTGGGCAGCCCCCAAACCAGAATAGGTTTGTAGAAATTCCAGCGCTGCCTTGTGGTTGAAGATTTATGAACAGGAAAAGGACAATGAGTACAGAAAATGGAAGTGAGGCACAGAAATAGCCAGATTGGTTACAGGTCAGCATTTGCCTTACTTGAACACAGTTTGAACAGTTAGCCACCTTTGATTGGCTGAAACTCGGTGCTTGGTACTAGAGTTACAATCTGTCTACACATCCAGTTACGTTACAGTTCACTATGTACAGAGAAATCTTTAGACCAAATTTACAAGGAGACCACTTTAGGTTAAACTTAGTTTAACAAGTGAAACATTTTCATTATGTCATATTTTAATGTCTTTACTTGGCACCTGTGCAATATCTGGTTCCTATTTATAAAAGACTTTGCTTATGCTGTATTCTTTCTCACTGATTACATCTTGGAAATTATTAATTTTTCATATTTTTGTTTATTCAGAATACTCTCATTTTTGCTCGTTATTTCTGGTTATTCTATTTTTTTTTTTTTCTCAAAATTCTCTGCCTTCTATTTTGCAGACTTGCATTTCAGTCAGAATGCATTCAATCTCTCCTCCAGTGCCTCAGTGGGTTTTTTTTCTGTGTTTCTTAGAGTTCTTACATATGGGTCAGCTATTTTTACGTAAGGTAAAACTTCTAAACTTTGCAGTGAGTGATCAAACATTAAATTATTGGATTCATTAAATAAAATCCCAGAAACACACACAACTCATAGAAACACTTCAGTGTACTATGATAAGGTCAAACCCAGCAACTTGTGTTTAGGGAGTTAGTTACCTGCTTTGACCAGGAGTTGCAGAAGTCATAGCTTAATTTTTAAAAGATTAAGTAAATAAATGCTCAGAAACACATATAATTCTTGACAGTCATTATGTGCTCATCAACTGTCATTGCTGATGTTTAAAAATTAACCAGCATGGTTTTCATGTGATCCTGGCATGATTAGGTCAAAACCACACCCAGCTTGGGGAAACATCCTTGAGCATTTTAGATATTTTGATATTATTTTTTCCATTGTTGTCATTAACAATGTGCTTAGGGACACATTAGGCCACAGCTGTTGCAATTAATTTCACCCTTGTGGCCTCAAGAGACAAGCCCCAGCAGTGGCCAGCTTAGTCCTAGGAGTGACAAGCCCTAACAGGACACTTTGGCATGGTGTTCTGTGGATCTCTCCCTGAAGACAACCTGTAGCTTGATCAGGTGGGGCTGGGGCCAACCCTGTCCTAGGGCTGGGGCTGGGCTGGGGCTGGCTGAGTGGTGTCAGTCTTTTCAATGCAAGGCTTTTCATTGGCTTGGCTGTACCCCTTGCAATTACTCTGGCTGGGTGACTCGACTTTAAGCAAAGTGAAACAGTCTGGGAACCACAAACAGGATGCCTGACAATTAGCTGCCATTTTACAAGAGTGGGTCTTAGGACTATCAGCATTTTCTAGGAAGGCCACTACCTACTCACCATCACCGCCAGCAGTGAGTGGTGGCTGAAGCCCTTCCATGGTAGACCAAGTGCTGTAATGATTGATTTTGCTAAAAATCGTGACCCTAATCTGCCCGAAATTGGATCAGTGTTCTACTATTCACATCATGTCACACAAATGGTGTGTAATAGCTTTGTCGTTTTTTTTAACTTGTTGAAGTGACCTATTTTATGGCTTGCTTTGAGGTCAGAATTAGACTTTTAAGTGCTATATGAAAAGAAATCTAAGCAAAATTAATCTGAACTGATTTGATTATCTGCTGAATTTAAATACATTTTTCTTACATTGTTCTTGCCTCAGTGGAATAATTAATTAGTAATTCCATTAGGTGTTTGTGAAAAAAACAAGGTTTGGGGGTAATGCCATGCCAAACAAATGCTCAAAATTAAAAATAAGAGCTCTTCATTTTATAACCTGTCTCTCTGTAAATGTAAACTTTGTTCTAATGTAGCCAAGGGGGGCAAAGTAGGAAATCAGGGGAAATGGAGAGTGAGATTTTAGCAAACAGGTTCACAATGTGCGCCAAGCTATGAAGGAGGGCCGATGGGGAGGAGGGCGCCGTGAGTGTTGGGAGGTGGGACTTAAACAGATTTCCTTTTTGCTGTTTCTTTCTCGATGGAGTCTGCTTGCTCTGCCTCTGGATTGTAAGACATAGTCATTCAGCTACCATTAAACATGTCACTGCTAACAGTGAGCAAAAATAGAAATTACTCTCAGTTGAAACGGCAGGGAGACAAGTAGGAAAATTTGGGTTGGTCTAATGGAACCTCACCCACTCCTAATGTTCTCCATACCAACTTAGCAAGTGTCTGTAAGCAAAATGCTGTGAATACGGACATACATCAGGAATGGGCACAGGATCGCAGGTCTGGCTTTAAAAGTACATGATATTGTACGTGACCCCAGCTTGGAAAAAAAATATGAAAGAAGGAGGAGACACACCAAAGTGTTAGGTGATTATGAGTGGGATATAAAGTAATGGGTTTATTCTTTATATTTTTCTAAGTTTCCATTTTTTCTATAGCAGTACACACACACACACACACACACACACACACACAAAAGCTGGCTCAAAAGCAATAATGAAAACGTTAGAAAGCTATCTGAGAATAAATAAAGAGAAACTGTCCTTGAGGAATCTTGGCTTTCAGAAGCAAAGAGGTCGGGGAAAGATCTGTTCTTCCCTAACCTGTGAATAAAATCTTCATCCAGTAAAGCAGAACTGTGGTGAAAGGAAACAAAAATATGCTTCTGGTTTTCCTCTAGTCAGATTAAGTGCACAGACTCGAGCCAGATTGCCTGGAATGAAATCCAGAACTGCCAATTACTAGCTAATTAATCCCTCTGAGCCTCAGTTCCCTCATTGGTAAGATCAGGGATAAAAATAGCACCGAATTTATAAAGTTATTGTGAAAATTAAATGACTAATTTGTGTATCCTTAAAATGGTGGCTGGCACATGATAAGTGGTAAATAAATCTTAGGTATTTATTTCAATAATAATCTTATTAATGTTATCATTACCGAGTAGAGCTTATTGAAACAGTACCGCAGTCTACTACTGTATAGATGTTGCTAACTCATTAACACTGAATTTGCGAAAATGGGTACAATAATATTTACCTTGCAAGTGTTGTTTATAGAATCAGAGCTAATGCAAGTCAAGTGCCAAGAACAGTCTCAATGGATTTTGAGAAATGGTTAGTATTATTTCTAGTTTAAGTGAATATGTTTTGAGTCAAAAATTTTCAAGCACTTACTATGTGATGGGCATCGTGTTCATCTCTTTGTGGTCCAGAATGTGGCCTGTGTTACTGTATGCTCCATGTAAGCTTGAGAAGAATATGTATCTATTGTTGGACAGAATATTCTATAAATGTTAATTAGATCAAGTTGATTGACAGTGTTGTTCAGGTCAACTCTATCCTTACCGATTTTCTGCTGGCTGGATCTATCAATTACTGACAGAGGGATGTTGAAGTCTCCAACTCTAATAGCAGATTTGTCTCTTTTATCTTTCAGTTCTATCCATTCTTGCTTTGTGTATTTTGATGCTCTGTATTAGTGTGTTCATCACTTTTTATTCATTTCTTCATGTAATTTCCACAAAATCAGTATGAGGCATGAGTTAGTGGAAGATGTGCAAATTTATGTTAGTGAAATAAAGAGTTTGTCCAATGTTGTTATAGGTGGCAAATGGCAGAGCCACGTTTTGAACCCAGGTCTGTCATAGACCATAACCATCTAAGCAACCAAGTCCATCACTCAATATAATGCCATAGGCCAGAGATTTTAATTGCTAAACAATGGAAAATAAAGCATGTGACATATATATAAAGTATGGGCTGTATTCATACAATAGAGGTTATTTAAAACATGGAATAAGGAAAAAAAAAAAAAAAACCAGTAAGTTTCACCTGATTTGGGTTGAGGATCAAGGAAGCTGATATAAGATGCAGCTCTCAATGTGGAACTGAGTGTGTGTGTGTGTCCCTATATGCATTTTTTTCTCCTACCTGGCTCAGATGTCTTCAACTGACTTTGTGTTAATTGGGTTCTTCTTTCACACAGTCTCAGGGGACTGTCTAGGTTCATGGGGGAGACCCATCAGCTCCAGTGGGGCGGGCTGCCTCAGGAAGTGGAAGTTCAGCTATGACAGGTAGAGACATAGCCGAGATGTTTTTCTCCTCAAGGATTGGCCTATGGTTGGACTGCTCAGGGAAATTCTGAGTTTTTTCTTTTGGGGACCGTGGGGTGGAGCTGGAGAAGAAGGGTCATGAATCAGGATTTGGCTGGGCAGGCTCTGAGTCACTTATCTTCTTTCTCCAGATAGCACCCAGCGTGCCGGGAGACGAGGAAGCTACATCACCAACATTTCCCACTGTTAGCATCAGGGTGTTAGCTGGTCGTTTTCCCTTCAGCACCAATTAATGTTCACCTGGATGTTTTGATTTGGATACTTTTGAAATCTCTTCTGTCAAGGTACTACTTAGCAGTTTAGGTGCTACAAGAAACTGGCTATATTTATGTCTAAAAAGTTTTACAGTGCCTTTTAAAATGTTCTCACCAAAGCACTCAAGATTGTATCAGCAGTAAGTATGTCATCCACATGAATATCCGTGGAGTCTCACCGTGAATAACGTGATTAAGGAGCATAATGTGTGGACGCCCAGCCCATCGGGAGCTTCATCAGCCTGAGTCTTTAGGTGAGTTCCCCGGAGGGAGCATCATCAACACCCTTCAAGACAGCCTCTGTCTTGCCCAAGTATTTTTTCTGCCAATAATAGGACCTACTATGGGGGAAAGTGGAAAGATTATTATTTTTTAATTAATAAAATTTCTTTTTTAGAGCAGTTTTAGATTCACAGTAAAATAGAGCAAAGAGTACAGAGATTTCTTATATACCCTTGTTCCCACACATAAACCACCTCCCCCAATACAGACATTTAATATCACAGTGGTACATTTGTTATACTTGATCAACCCAGATTGGCACATCATCACCCAAAGTTCGTAGTTTTCTTTAGGGTCCACTGTTGATGGTGTACATTCTATGGGTTTTGGCTAACGTGTAATAGCGGGTACCCATCATTATAGTACCAAACAGAAAGTTCCACTGCCCTAAACGTCCTCTGTGATCTGCTTATTCATCCCTCCCTCCCACCTACAGTTGAAGGATCTTAACATTTTATTTAGAATGTATATATATATTTCTTTCTTCTTCTTTTTTTTTTTTTTTTT